ATCAGACGGTCCCTGACCTCCACTTCTCCCTCACCCTCCAGCCACCGGATAGTACCCAGGCGCCTCGGCGCTACCATTCCTCCGCCTACTTCGACTTGCTGGAGACTAGGTACGACTTTATCCTTGGCACTCCCTGGTCTCGCCGGTTCCGTAGCACAGAGGCCGAATGGGCGTTTGAGACACTCATTCTCAAAACGAAGTGTGGTCAAACCCATCGAGTCCCCTTCATTGGAACCACGGGCGACACCCCTCCAAACCTACCTCCCCAGGACCCTCGTCCTTCTGGGTCCCACCCACACATCTCCTTCACTTCTCCCCGTCAGTTTGCTCACTTCATCCGACAGGAGGACGTCACGCTCTACTCAGTGAACGTCATGGATCTTCTTCGCTACGATCCACTCTGTCCCGAGGTTGAGCTCATTTCACTGGAGCCCGATCCCCCTGACCCTTCCTCCATCTTCGCGGCTCCCATCTCTACATCCACCCCGCAGCCTGCAGATACCCCCTCGACATCCCAGGTTCCTACGCCGTCCACTGCCAAGTCCACCCATACGTCTCGTGCCGACGCAAACATTGAGGAACTCATGCGGTTCACGGCTGACTTAGAGCCCGTCATTCGCGACCTGATTCTGGAGTACCGCGACGTCTTCCCCCCGTATTTCTCATACAGCGGGATTCCCCGATGCGCGGTGTCGAGCATTCTATCCAGCTCGTGCCTGACTATCATGTTCACCATCAGACACCATACCGACTCTCGATTCCAGAGGCGACGGAACTCAAGCGTCAGCTTGAGGAGCTCCGTCGACTTGGTTTCATTAAACCTAGTAACTCCCCTTGGGGTGCACCTGTCCTCTTTGCTCGCAAAGCGGACGGAACTCTCTGCCTCTGCATCGATTATTGCGGCCTTAACCGTTACACGGTTAAGAACAGCTATCCCATGCCCCGCGCGGATGAGTTGTTTGACCGTCTAGCAGGCAACCGCTTCTTCACGAAGATCGATCTTCGTAGCGGTTACCACCAGATCCGTGTTGCCGCAGAGGACCAGCCGAAGACCGTCTTTCGGTCGCGCTTCGGCCACTACGAGTTCACGGTGATGCCATTCGGCCTCACCAATGCACCCGCCACCTTCCAGACGGCGATGAACGACATCTTCAAGGACATCCTTGAAGAATACATTCTCGTATACCTGGACGACATCCTGGTCTACAGTCGTACCTTAGAATACCATATCAGACACCTCCGCGATGTCCTACAGCGCTTACGCAAGCATGGCTTCTATGCCAAGCTCAGTAAGTGTCGCTTTGCCCAGCGCAAAGTGGACTTCCTAGGACACCATGTGTCTGACCAGGGTCTCCACATGGACGACGCGAAGATCACTGCTATTGCAGAGTGGCCCGTCCCCACATCTGCCAAGCAGCTTCGCAGCTTTCTAGGCCTCACCAGCTACTATAGTAATTTTATCCAGGGATACGCTAGGTATTCCTATGTCCTTACCTCCACCCTCCTCCGGAAGAACCCGCCGTGGTTTTGGACACCCCTCTGCGAGGACGCCTTCCGCGCCCTCAAGAAGGCGGTGACTTCCGCGCCGGTTCTTCGCCTTCCCGATTTTGATCGTCCCTTTATCGTCACCACCGATGCGTCAGATTTTGCAGTAGGAGCTGTCCTTTCTCAGGTGTTTCCCTCTCCTCCAGATTCACCTTACCCCCATGTTCCTCCTTTTCCCCCCCCTCCTGCTGACACTGCTTCTCGACTGACGCCTATCCTACCACCACTTCCCTCCACTGACAGTCCTCCCATTACTTACTCCCCGACCATCGCAGAGGATGGGACTGTCAAGGCTCGTGCTGGGGATTGCCCGATCGCTTTCTACTCCCGTCAGCTACTACCTGTCGAGATAAACTACACTGCCGATGAACGTGAGGTTCTCGCAGTAGTTTATGCTACCCGGCATTGACGTCATTATCTGCACGGGGCGCCCTCCTCGGTGCGCACGGACAACTCAGTTGTCCAGGCTTTCCTCACGAAGCCTAAGCTTTCTCCTCGACAGGCACGCTAGTGGCGTGACTTATCCGAGTTCAGTTTCACCACTCAGCCCATCAAGGGTGAAACGAACCGCGTCGTCGATGCCTTGTCCCGCCGTCCTGATCACAATCAGGAACCCATCCATCTTGCGGCCATCTCCATCACCAGTGTTGATCAGTCGGTGATCGACGCGTATCGCACTCAGTACTGCCACTGCCCCGATTATCGCGTCATCCACGCGACACTGCGGAGTGGCAAGATCGTTCCTTCCTACTCCCTCGGGGAGAACGGCCTCGTGTACTGGCATGGCAAATCTGGTCAGCTAGAACTACGTATCTGCGTTCCCTCCACCGGACAGCTCCGCGTCCAGGCTGTAGTAGAGTTCCATGACCAGGCAGCTGCCGGTCATATGGGTTTCCACAAGATGTTGGCTCGTGTTTGCCGCCTATGCGTCTGGCCGAAGTCCAAGGACTTTGTCAAAGCCTACATCCAGGAGTGTCCTACCTGCCAGGAGGTGAACAGTGTGAACCACCTTCCGTATGGGTTACTTCAGCCCCTACCCATACCTGAAGGTCGTTGGCAGTCTATCTCGATGGATTTCATTGGTCCCCTCCGCCCACCCACTCAGCGCGGTCATGATGCTATCTTGGTCGTCGTCGATCGCTTCACGAAACGTGCACGTTTTGTTCCGTGCCGCTATCGCATTAGCGCTCGTGAGGTCGCCGACATCGTCTTCGACTGAGTCGTGAGAGATCACGGCTTACCTCAGAGCATCATCTCCGACCGTGACCCGCGCTTTACCAGCACATTCTGGCGACGCCTACACGAGGTGTACGGATCCCAGCTCCGCTTTTCATCGTCTTACCACCCTCAGACGGATGGTCAGACTGAGGTCACCAATAAAACTATCGGTAATATCCTCCGAAAGTTTGTTAGGGATGACCAGTAGTGGGACTTACACTTAGCCCACGCGGAGATTGCGTACAACCACGTTGTTTCGCCAGCCACGGGGATGTCGCCATTCTATTGCGACCTCGGCTACCACCCTCGCGTACCTGCGGATTTCCTACGACCATCACGGTTGCGCCCAGACACTCGTTGCCCTGYGCTTGACGACTGGATCGCCCACATGGCGGCGATTATGAAGCGCGCACACGAGAGTTTAGCCGACTCCCAGACTCGCRTGGCCGCACGARCGAACCGAYCACGAATGGATCATYCATTCAAAGTCGGTGACGATGTGCTCGTCRACGCACGCCACTTACAGCTCGAAGCAGATATGCTTCGCAAGTYCAGGCGTCGTTTYTTCGGTCCATGCCGCATCCTTYAGGCCGTCGGYTCTGATACTGCCGCTAGTCYGGTCAGCTTCCGTGTGAAGCTACCTGATTACCTTCGACAGGCTCGCGTACACGATGTTTACCATGTCTCCTTGCTGCGTCCTTATCGCAGACCGTCCGAGCRCTTCGCCRGAYGCCCTTATGAGCGCCCTCCACCTATCATGGTGGACGRTCACGAGGAGTTCGTTGTTTCCGACATCGTATCACGCCGAGTTACCGACRATACCCCTCCACGCATCGAGTACCTTGTGCGTTGGARGGRCTAYCYTGATGAGGAGGCTACTTGGGATCCCCTCGAGCACTTGCAGCACGCCAGGATGTTGGTGCGTGCATATGATCGTGCTCGTCGTGCTGGGACATCTGCTTCTACTCAGCCGACTGACCCTCTTCCTCCTCCTCCGGCTGAGGAGATCGCTGAGGATGAGCCCGCTCCCTCTGAGGCCGTTCCTCAGCCGCAGATGGTCGCCTCCGAGCGTCCACAACGCACTCATCGTCGCCCTTCACGTTACGATGACTGACACTCTTATCCTCCATCTTTCCCCACTGACTCACGCCATCAGGTACTCCATCATCAGCTCTTCTTCAGGATGTCAGCGTTTTGCGGCTCTGCTTCGACATCGACTCGACTGCT